CCCTACACGCCATCACGTGACAATGGATCCCACTGCCCCAATTTTAAATTTTTATCTAGTTATTTTAGCGTTCTGTCTTTTGACTTTCAAGTATAACCACTGGTATTTTCATTTTTATCGGTTAAATATTTATTATATATAAATTAGTAAGAAAATAAGCATTTCCTGTTTCAGTATATTACTTTTGAAAGAACATAATTATTAAATTTAAAAATAATAATATTTAATACAAAAATCAAAATTAAAAGAGTGTTTATCAAAATCTATCTTTTTTATATTAAATATAGATAAATATTATATTTAAATATATAAATTATATTAAAATTTATATAATAAAATTTTTAAATATATAAATTACATTTTAGATTTTATGATAAATATTCATATTATAATATAAAATTATTTTTTTGATAAATTGTTTTTAAAACTTAAAAATTAATTTATAAATGATCATGGTAAATAAAAAGAGATTAAATAAGTTAAAAAAAATAAAATTTCTCTTATCAAATAATAGTTTCTAAAAATATTTTTGTGCAAGAAAGACATTCGTATTTAATATAAAACTTGATTAGATACAAGTTTAGAAATGCCTTTTTAAAGATTATCTATTATAAATAAGAGGTATCTTTTTAATAAAAAAACTCTTAAAAAATACTTTTTTAACTATTGATTTTACGATGTTTTCATTTTAAGCATATGATTATTGTTATTTAGTAGTTAGTTGTTGTTAAAAGTGTTGTTTTAAAACTCTAGAGTCAATGGACTATAAGTTGATTGCTGAAATATTTAGACTAGAGATAAGTTAGTTCAACTTTAGGATGAACATACAAGGTTTTCTTAAAACAAGAACCTCATAAGTTTAAGTTTTAAAAAATCCTAGAGAAAGTTTTTCTAAAACTTGAGAAAAAAACCTTTTTCCTTCCTTACCTCTCTAACCCATCTCCTACTTCTTCTGCAACTGATCTATACTTATAGTGGCAGTGAGATTCGAAGTTCAAGAGTATAGAATCTTAAGTTGAAGGTCGATTAGAGTTCACTTCCTTATTCTTTTCCTCTCCTCTTGTTGGTTTGATCCTCCAAGAGGTAAGAAAAGCTTTGTGAATGAATTTTTGTTGATGCATGATTATTTTTTATGCCTATAATCTTTAGATTCATTATTATTATGATTTGAACCTGTGGGTTGTTGTTTTATGAAGGTGTGGTGTTCCTGGAGTTTTGTACGAAATAAATATCATGCTTATTGCAAATTGATGGATGCATGTTGTTTTTAGTGGTCAATTTGTGTCGTACATGTTTGTCTAAATGTTGTATGTTGTAATGCATGTTGTTGGGTTTCTAGATTTTAAGAAGATTGGCCCAAAAATGAGTTTTGCATAAGTGAAAAAAGATGCCACATTGGGTGCGTATTCAGGATGTTGGACGTGGATTCAACTAGTGATTATGTCTCACCCATGTCGGATGTAGGATTGGTGGCGTCGAGTGTAAGGAGAGAGAATCATATCGAATTGAAATTACGTTCAATGTAATTTGAATTATGCTTGACGTAAGGAGAGAGAATCGTCTTTAGTTGAAATCACGTCGAGCACCAATGGAATGGCATCGAGCATGAGCTGTGTGGAGACCCTTGGACGTTGGGGTCAAGTGTGGGCTCTTGCAACACCAAGCATGGTAGAATGAGAGACTTTTTACCTCAACCACACTGGGAACGAGTAGTTTGGCGTCAGAGGTGGACAGATAAGGGCGTTGGGTGCAAGTTGTATGATGAAGATTTGTTTTTATAAGTTGTTTCATGGTTGAATGATGATGAATGAGTTGTGTGGATGAGGTTGCGTGATGATGAATTTGTATGTTGTAAGTTGATATATTATATGATGATATTTGAGTAGTAAATTGTTAAAATGGTGAAGTTGTATAGTGTTACACTTGTTCATGTTGTTAAAGCTATTAGGCATGTGGTGAAGATACATGTCTTTGCTAATATACATAAAAACTAGAGGAGTAAAAGATGTTTTTTAAATTAAAAGATTTCATTGTAGGGATATACATTACGGTGATCCGATAGTCCGGTTGAAACCCTTCAAAAAAGTGAGTTGGTTTCTAAATGGGCAATTGTTTTTTAAGTTGTCTCCTCTAAGTTTTATGGGATATCCTTATGTGGACAGGGTTGAGACATACATGTATGAAGTGACTAACCAAGTGAAGCACAAGGTTGGTGACTTTGTCCCTATCTAAGTATTGAAGGAAAGTAGTACTTGGAGGATGGTCAGTGGACTAATTTTATAGGTGACTTAGTGTTGCAGATTAATGTTGTGATAGATTCGAACCCAAATTGTTATAGTCTGATAATAGTATTAGACTTCATTATTTAAATGACAAAATATGATAAATCAAATTAAATTATTAAATAGCATCTCTATGAGATCTTAAGTTGTTTATACTTGACATAACTGTAATAGGTCAAACGACATGATTCAGTCGGGTCTAACCACTTAAACAATTCACCTCTATTATAAGAGATCCCTTTAGTTTATATGCATAACAACATAGTTGTATATTGTTTTATGATGATTATGTTGTCGAGATGTTTTTAAGTTACTTTATATTGTAAGTTGCATGTTGAATTTGATGTTGTTCATGTTGACATTGATGTTGTACTCGCACATTATTTTTATTTTACAAAATTATCCTATATTTTTCTTGTGATTATAACTGTAGTGATTATACTTGATATAGAAGGAAGTTAGGATTAGTTGTTAACTTGTATGGTGGTGGAAGGTCATGCAAGAGATGACCAACTTTCTTTTAGTAGTTTATGCTCCAATTGCAATGTTTTTGTAAAGATGCTTGATCAAGAGTTAAAGTTTATTCTATATACAATACTCTTTGATATATATATATATATATATATATAGCTTTGTATATAGGATTTTATAATTTTTTTTCTTGCATAACAGTGTTTATGATATTATATAATGATTATATGATAATTTTAGACTAATTGTATGTTACTTTATTTTTTCTGCATATTAACTAAAATATAACAAGTATAGTAACTCAACAAGTTCTTATACTTAATAGACTTGTATAGGGATCGTTTATATTTAGCATAATTTTATTTTTACTTGTTTAATTAATTATTTCAAAATATTAAAATTTAATTCTTAAATAATTATGAAAGATAAAATTTAAGAAAAAAGCGTGAATTGACTCTTTTATTTACTAATTACTATGTTTTTCCATAAAAAAATTTTATGCGATTATTTGCCACAGGTTAAACTATTTTAAAAAATGTTTAAAAAATTTGTACGCTTTTGGTTATAAAATAATTGTATGTTTAGAATAATACGTAAAATTTATAAATAGATTTTTTTTATATGAAAAATTAATTATTTTTATTCATAAAAATTAGAATTTATAATATTTTTTACTGTTTTTCCTAAAGTTGTTTTTTACGAAATTTTTTTTATTATATACAAAAAAAAAATGTAGAAATCACGTTTCAAAAAATAAATAAAAAAAAATCATCCAAACTATAATATAATTAATTATTAAAATAATGTATTTTTTACTACTTTCACAAACCCACTCTTTCTATCTTTTAATCTTTGTGTTTTAATCGAATAAAGAATAAAAACGTTGGAATTACTAGTCTTCTCCTTCCTCCTGTTTGGTTGTAGTGTACCAAAACCACAGATTGATTTGTCTTCATCATCTCGCGGGAGAATCACGCTATCACAGTGATCATTGCTTTGACTTTTTCAAACAACATTTATGAACAGACGTGTTAAAATTTTTTAGATCCAACCTCATTTATGTTACTTTTATTTTGTTGTTTGATAAAAAAAAAATAGTTGGAAAAGTACTCTTTTTATTTAAATTTAATTTAATTATATATTTTTAATAAATTATAAATTAATTTTTAATGATAATATAATGACTTAAACACATTTTTAATCACTTGTGTATAATAAATGTACAATTTTAATTTTTAAAATTTTAATAAAATAATTTTAGTCTTTTAATTTTTCAAGAACATCAAATGGATGAAGATTTTATAAAAAAAAAAAAATGAAATTCAAGTACTTGTTTAGAATTGTAAATTTTTAAATTTTTCTCTAAAGTAAGAATTTAAAATTTTTCCTTCTCCTTTTTATTTGAATTCCTTTTTTTAATTATTTATAAAGTCAGCATAAAAGTGTCAATTTTTAAAAATTATTGAATATTTAATTATATAATATTATTTTTTAAAAAATATATTAAATATTTAAAATTTGATTAATATTTAGTTTTTTAAAATTAAATATTAAAATTTCAAAGTATATTTGTTTAAATTAAATTTAATATATGGTGGAAATTACATTTTTGTCTTCAAATTAAGAATTAAAAATTTTTAAATTTTAAATTGACTTATCTAAAAAAGACATTTAAAGAATAATAAAAATTAAAATCAAAGTCATTTAAATTCTAATAATTTTAAATTTGTAAATTTTTTCATTCAAACACACATGTGGATTTAATTTAATGGAGCATTGTAATTCAAAATTTTTTAGAGTATGTTTGGACATATGATTTAAATGGAGTAATTTATTTTTTTAAAATTCAAATATCTTGAAATTAAATGTTTTGTTTAGATGAAAAATTAATGAAGAATTTGAAATTCCTGCATTTATAATTTTTTTTAAAATAAAACTGTATTTTATAAAGAATGAAAAATAAAAATAAATAGCAAAGCATGATTTATCCTTTGCTTTAAAACTTGTAATATTTATGCTATATGTTGAAATAATGGGGATTGAGGCAGTGTTATCAAATAATCGTTATAAGAGAAGATGACTTGAAATTAAAGATAGAATCTATCAAAGAAGGTTGTAATTATACATGGATAAGAAATCAAGTTTCTCACTCCCTCTTATCTTGTTG